CCAGCTCCCCCCAGAGATTAGGACCGCTCCCACCCTGTTGGTTTTCCGTAAGCTGCTTAAGACCTGGCTTTTCCGGCAGGCCTGGGGTTTATAAAATCTGACCCCTGGATGACTGTTCTTGTACTGTTTGTTTTGTTATGTTTTATGTGTTTTTATTGTTAGCCGCCCAGAGTCCTCCGGGAGTGGGGCGGCTTATAAATTTTAAAAATAAAATAAAAATAAAATAAAAAGATAGATTTAATTACGGTAAGTTGTTTTATAAAGATTTATTCTGCCAAACTTAGCAAAAGTCCGACAAAGTATTTGGTAAGTAATTATTATTATATGCTTTAACTTGCTGTAACTCTGCTTTATAACTTTTATAAAGTAAAGTTACTTCCCTACTTTATAAATCACCACTACTGTGGAACCAGTGGGCGGTTAGAAAATTTTACTACTAACAGAGATACAAAAGTGGGCGGTAGGTATAAAAAGGTTGACTACCCATTTTAAGCTCAGCTGGAATACTGTCTTTGTTGTTGCTCAGCTTTCCTAAGGCCCATTTCACTTCACATTCTAGGATGTCTGGCTTGAGGTCAGTGACCACCCCACTGTGGTTATCAGAGACGCTAAGCTCGTTCTTGTATAGTTCTTCTGTGTAATGTTGCCACCTCTTCTTAATCTCTTCTGCCTGTTAGGTCCCTGCCATTTTGGTCCCTTATCATGCCCATCTTTGCATGAAACGTTCCCTTCATATCTCCAATTTTCTTGAAGAGATCTCTGGTTCTCCCTATTCTATTGTTTTCTTCTATTTCTTTGCATTTAAGAGGGCATTCTTATGTCTTCTAGCTATTCTCTGGAATTCTGCATTCAATTGCATGTATCTTTCTCTTTCTCCCTTGCGTTTTGCTTCTCTTCTTTCCTCAGCTATTTGCAAAGCTTCCTCAGACAGCCATTTTGCTTTCTTGCATTTCTTTTTCTTTGGGATGGTTTTAGGTGCTACCTCTTGTACAATGTTGCGAACCTCCGTCCATAGTTCTTCAGGCACTCTGTCTATCAGATCTAATTCCTTAAATCTATTTGTCACCTCTACTGTATATTCATCAGGGATATGATTTAGTTCATACCTGAGTGGCCTAGTGTTTTTCCCTACTTTCTTCAATTTAAGCCTAAATTTTGCAATGAGAAGCTCATGCCACAGTCAGCTCCTGATCTTATTTTTACTGACTGTACAGAGCTTCTCCATCTTTGGCTGCAGAGCACATAGTCAATCTGATTTCTGTGTTGACCGTCTGGTGATGTCCATGTGTAGAGCCATCTCTTGGGTTGTTGGAAAAGAGTGTTTGCTATGACCATCGTATTCTCTTGACAAAATTCTATCAGCCTGTGCCCTGCTTCATTTAGTACTCCAAGGCCAAACTTGCCTGTTATTCCAGTTATCTTTTGGCTTCCTACTTTAGCATTCCAATCCCCGATGATGATAAGGACATCATTTTTTGGTGTTAATTCTATAAGGTGCTGTAGGGCTTCATAGAACCAGTCAATTTCATCCTCTTCAGCACCAGTAGTTGGGGCATAGACTTGGACTACTGGGATATTGCATGGTTTGCCTTGGATTCTCACTGAGATCATTCTGTCATTTTGGGGATTGTATCCCAGTATTGCTTTTCCTACTTTTTTATTGACTATGAAGGCTACTCCATTTCTTCTGAGGGATTCTTGCCTGCAGTAGTATACCCGATGGTCCTCTGAATTAAATTCAACCATTCCTATCCATTTTAGTTTGCTGATTCCTAAGATATCGATGTTCGTTCTTGTCATCTCTTGTTTGACCACGTCCAACTTGCCTTGATTCATGGATCTTACATTCCAGGTTCCTATGGAGAAAAGATCTTTAAAGCATTGGACTTTCCTTTCAGATGCATCCAGAGCAAAGCGTCCTTTCAGCTTTGGCCCAGTCGCTTCACTCTTTCTGGCACTACTAGTGCTAGCCCTCTGCTTTTCCCCAGTAGCATAATGGACACCTTCCGACCTGAGGGGCTAATCTTCCAGCCTTTTTGCCTTTTGGTACTGTCCAAGGATTTTCATGGCAAAGATACTGGAGTGGGTTGCCATTTCCTTCTCCAGTGGATCACATTTTGTCAGAACTCTCTGCTATGACCTGTCCATCTTGGGTGGCCCTGCATGGCATAGCTCATAGCTTCATTGAGTTATGGAAGCCCCTTCGCCACGACAAGGCAGTAATCCATGAAGGAGAGGTAACCTTAAAACAATTTAATTTCCATGTAATTAAAAGGCTCAATGTTTTCAGAAGAAGGAAGGGTAAAAGAATCCAAAATAAAATATGGCTGACTTTAGCATGAAGCTACTTTCATATCCTTCATGGGGAAGAATTTATGTTCTAGCAATTTTCTAGTTTATTAAAAAAATCCTGATTTGTAAAAGTTTGTAGTACTGGGATTGTAGTTTAGGTCAATGCTTTTCAACCCACGGTACGCATACCATTGTTGGAACTTTGGCACCTGACAGGTGGTAGGCATACGATGGGTTGAAAAGCACTGTTAAAAAAAAAGTAAAAAAAGTGTAAAAGTGTAGCGGGGGGGGGGTGAGCTGAAGCAGCAGCAACACCACCCAGGCCTGTGGGAAAGTCAGCTGGAGCTGCGGTGTTGCCCAGGCTCTGCTGAGCACCCAGAATTGGTGCGGGGCTCCAGCTGATTAGCGCTTCAGGAAGCAGTGTACATCTTGGGGAAAGGAGTCAGGTGCAGCTACCCCAAAGAGAGAAGGAGGAGGAGGAGGAAGAGAAGATATAAAAGGAGGAACTTTTGGAGGGAAAGGGAGAGAAAAAACACGATGGGGAAAGAGAAGGGGATGGAAAAAGAGAGACGGAGGAGAAGCTTCTTTGAGTCAACCAGGAGAGAAGGGGATTAATGTCAGAAAAGCAGGCACAAGTTTCCCATTAAAAGTGTATAGACAGTCCTCAATCTACAACTACAATTGAGCCCAAAATTTTTGTTGCTAAGTGAGAAATTTGTTAAATGAGTTTTGTTAAATGAATCACTGCAGTTGTTAAATTAGTAACACAGTTCTTAACTGAATCTGATTTCCCCATTGACTCTGCTTGTCAGAAAGCTGCAAAAGGGGATCACATGACCCCGTGACACTGTGACCATCATAACTATGAATCAGTTGCCAAGCATCCAAATGTAAATCACATGACCCTGGGGATGCTGCATCAGTCATAAGTCACTTCAGTGCCATTGTAACTTTGAACAGTCACTAAGCAAACTCTTGTAAGTTGAGGACTACCTGTACTTTATCACTTTTTTCCTCTCTTTTTTTGGTCAAGTTTTTGACACCTTGCTAGGTGACTGGTGGTACTCAAATATTGCCATATCCTAAAAGTGGTACAATCTGTGAAAAAGTTGAAAAGCACTGGTTTAGGTAATGTTTCATCTGCTAACAATGTGCAAATATAACATTGACATTAGTATTCCTGTTTTGTATATTAACCCTTGTTCCAAGCAATCCAGAAAGAAAATCAGTTACAGTGTTTCTAGGCAGTAGAACTTCTCATCATAAGCTTAGAAATACATCTTATGCTGGATCAAGCAGTCTCCTGGTATATATGAGTCATACTCCCTCAACAAGAATGCTGAATGTTGATGAGTCCTCAGTTTAGCAAGTTTTTTATATACTTGAGCAATAAAACATCACAAGAAGCCTTATCATTCTTCTGCTTGCTGATTGGCCTTTGTAAACATTCTTCAAATCAACTGCATAAGATTATACAAATTCAGATGTTCATATAAGTCATAAGGCAGTCCTGCCCTGAACAATCCATTAATTAAAAGCTTCACTGTATTTCCCTACCACTAACTCTTCCTTGCAACTGCTCATAAAGGCATTCATAAATTACTTTATATTAGTTTGGAGAACAGTGAGATGTAAAATGACAAAGGCCTTGGTTTTGGGCCCTACACTGTATATAATAATTATTAAAGATCTGGATAAAATATTTGAAGGGATAATTTCCAAATTTGCAGGTGATACAAAACTTTATAAGAAAAAATAAAATTCAAGTTGAATAATGATATAGCTACTAAAAAGGCAAATTCTATTTCGGATATATAACAACAGCATAGAGTCCAAATCGTGGGAAATGATTGTGTCCCACTTTATTTCTGCTTTGACAAGGCACCACTTGAGTTTGAGGCAGATTAATTTTAAATGGACATTGGGAAGCAACAATGGACCCTGCACTCAAGCTATCTTGCAATGAATTGTATAGACACGTTTCTAGTGTTTCAGGCAGAAACGTTTGGAGGTGCTATCATACTTGGAAATGCCAGGGGTTAGCAGAGATGGCATTTGTCTGCTTTGATAAAACAAAAAACATAAATACTTTTGTTTCTATTTGGAAACTGCTTCTGGACTTTATGCTTGAGGTGGAAAAAAATGAAACATTGATTAAGGGCTTTACTGATTAGATAGATCTGTTGTTATAGAAATGCCTAGTTTATACTATTATGTAAAAGTAAAAAATTGAGGTTTGATGTTACTTCTTATTCTACTGCACTAAAGGGAGTCAGAAATCAATGCCTTTTTTTCTTTTTCCATTTTTCTCTATACTTTTCCCCTTCCCTTTTTCCTCCTCTACTTTTCCTATTATTTGCTTTTGTATTTTTGTATTTTATATTATAAATTAATAAAGAAAAAAGGGGAAAATGCCACACTAAACCATCTTTGTTTCAAAATAACATACAAAATAAGAAGCACTTTCAACAATACTGCGAGGTAACATCTGCCCAATCCAGCCACTCTAAAGATACATGCACATTCTCCAATGCCTTTCCCTTGGTCTGAGATATTTTCTTTCAGAAAATTCATATTTGGAGATAGGAAAACCTTGGAAATTTTTTTTCTTATTGCTAAAACTATTTGTCATTTTCTGTTCCCATTTTAGAATATTCTGTAGTCGACTTTTAAATAAGGAACTGTTTGAAAAAGAATACCATACAAACCTTCAAATTCTTCTTCATTTTGAAGAGAAGCATCACTCAAAATATTTAGCAATCTTAGCACTGGAGTGGGAAGCATCACCAAATCTTCAATATGAGGAGCTGTTTAAATAGCACATAAATGACAAGATAATCATTAAAACTAATTAGCAAGCACTGCTAGAAGTTTCGGCCTTAATCCTGAGAGTATTCTCTTATCATTGTTTTTTTAGTCAAATATTTTCATTGTAACTTTCATGGTGAAAATACGCAAATCAGGTAAGGCTAAAAAAGGGAATGAGAAAGCATCAGGTCTTGAGGACAATTTGTTCCCAACAAGCATTGTTTTACTTTTTTCAACTATGGCTTTCCAATGGGATACAACCTTCAATATATATTATATCCTAAGCACTCAATATACATTTTGATTGCTTAAAATGTAATAACATGCCATAGTCAGAGAACTGAATTGTAATTGAGGGGAAAGCAGGCAGATTCTGAAAATTTCTAGATATGATTATAGTATAAATACTTCTAGTAAACCAAAATATCGGGCATATTTTTTATACTGACATGCATGCACAGTGAGTCAAATTTGAAAAGTGGATATCACTTTAATACTGAATTTACTAGAAATGCATAGAAAAAATAAATGGCATAAAATAAACCCTTAAGAATCTATTAAGGCTACCTCTTAGGTACAAAGAAGTGTTAATTGTTCATAGTTAGCCAGGTTACTTTAATTAAAAGTGTGTTAGATTAGTGTGTTAGCAATAGAAATAGTATTTAGACTTATATATCGCCCCATATCTCTTTACAGCACTCTTTGGGTGATTTACAATGTAGAAGACTTATTTGCATTGTTCACAACAATCTGGGTCCTCATTTTACCAACCACAGAAGGATGGAAGGTTGAGTCAACCCTGAGCCCTATCAGGATGGAACTCCTGGCTGAGGGGAGAGTTAACCTGCACTACTACACTTTAATCATATAACCAGGTTCATATAATAAATAATCAAGGATAATTCACCAGTCATTCCTAGGAGGTTTAAAAAGATGCAAAATGGTTATGCCACGCAGTGCTCTTTTTCACCATGCAGCATCCCATTTTCACCACACGGCGCCCTGTGTGTGTAGCGGTGGCAGCACTAGCGCGAGTGGGGGTGAGTGCGTGCACACATATGCGTGCACTGGCCAGCCTGTTCCGTGGCCCGGTGACCAGCAGGCCACGGCCCGGTAGTGGGCCACAGACCACAGGTTGGGGACCCCAGCTGTAGGGGATCTCACTTGATAATTCCCAAGATGATACAAGACATTTTTGAGCACTCTTTAGATGTATTAATTACCTTGCCAAAAGGATAAGACAGAGCTTGCCACAGGTTTTATAAAGCAAAACAAAATAAGCAACCTCAAGTAGAAACTTGTGAATATTTTACTGCTCTATTAAAATCCTTTGGGAGGCAACTGGATGGCTTAACAGTTCTCTCAGGTCTCAGAACTGCTGTCTCCTATGTCACCAGTTTTATTTCTAATATTAGATATATCTTCAATTGCAACTTTTAAACTACTAGCCGAGGTTGCCTACCCCTGTACTAGGGCATTATCTTTTTAAAACTAAGTCATCTGAAGATTTACAAAAGGCAAAGCTTAACTGCTACCTGAATGAAAACATAGCACATGTAATTTCTAAACTGGTGAACTTATACAAGTTGGATTCTACTATGAACTTGGCAATGTCACCAATTTAAACTGTCCTGTATCTACACCAACAATAATCCAAGTTATTGTTCAGATTCACGATTCTGCATTCTTGGCAAAACCAACAATGTGGACAAGCTGTATTTCTGGAACTGATCTTGAACTAAGGACCCAACCTTTTGTAAAAGGGACCATTTTGTGCTTCTTTCAAATAGGGACAGCATACCTTTTGAGGAGGTCTCTGAGGTGATAGACTGGGATGGCAGAATTTATCACACTTTTGTTGGCAAAAATGTGATCAATAAAGGCAGAATTATTTGCCTAGAAGGAGTCAGCGAAAAAAAAGAGAATAAAACAATCAACCCAAAAAGGGATTAATTGGGCTGTAACATAGTTGGCTGCTATCCTACTCCCCCAGGTCCTCAAAATTTGGGTGTTTAAAAATCCCCATTGTAATAAATGATAACCAAGCACACTGAATATTTTTCCATTCCTACAATTAGCTCATTCTATAGCTGCTCAGTCTTCATTCTCTTCAGCAAATACACTATTCTTTTCCAGTGATGAAACCGCACAGTTAAGTCACATAGCACAGTATTCTAACCATTTAAAAAATAATAATAGTTTTACTTTTCTGCTCAATATGCAACACAGAACAGCTAGCTTGTTGTTTGGTTGGGGAAAAGTCTTTTTTTCTGCAGTAAGTGTGTACAAATAATTGATTGTCACTATACAAAAAAGATGCTGAGACCCTGGAAACAGTGCAGAGATTCCATTCCATTCCCCTCTCACTAATATGTGGTACTATTTAGTGCAGATACCAAGTGCTAGCTGATCTACCTTGTGTTATTTGATGGCCTTCTGATGTTTCCCAGTCCTATGACTGGTTTACCACATAATATTGTTATGTTCTTCCAAAGGAAATCAATTACCAGGCCAATTAATAGTTGCTCCCAACAAAAGAGCACAATTGTTTATGAGGCCTAGGATCCAAAGCTTTATAGCAGATAAGCTATGGGCAGAAGTATACTTCTTAATATATTGTTGTTATTTACTATAACCACTATTTTACCTAACAAAGGGAACTACAGGCAAGTGGTCAAGCTCTGACATTACTAAAAGGAAAAACTGGGATCCTCAAACTATTTCCCCCATCTTTTTCAGATTTTCAGCAAAGATTTATATGTATGCTCTATCTCTGCCTCTTTGGCTTCCCTCAAGAAAACCAAAATTTTTAACATTTCATTTGCCCAACAAAGCAGACTGAAGCCAAATAAGGCATTTATTTATATCTTTTATAAAATTTGAAAGTTCCTGAAAGTCAACTGCTACAAAAACAGAGATGTTTGGTGGACTGAATTTTAAAAAATGAACTGAAAAGAAATTCAGAACTTACCCTCCATTCCTGAGATTGGACAATATGTTTCAATTTCATTCCTGAGAACATCTCCAGTAATATTATTCCAAGACTCCAAAGATCAACACCAGAAGTACATTCCGTTCCACCATGGAGTCCAGTCTTGGATAGACAGTTCTGTAGCTCAGTCTCAGGTGCTTGGTATCCATCAGTCTGGATGTATTTCACATCTTAACAAAGATCAAGAATATTTTAGAACTATAAATTCACCAACCAAGATGACACGGAAATAAATGGCTGATTTTTGTGATGCAAATGGTTTCTCAAAGAAAGCTTTTAGAGTCTTCCAAATCAAATCCTAGCCATTGCACAGAGTATCTATGCTGTCATTCAACTATATTTTTATTATGTGTATAATTATTATATTATTCTAAGTAACAAAGAAAATTATAATATTCCAAGAGAACACAGAACGGATAGTCTGATTATACCTGGATAATCATCATGGCATGGGATTTCAATTTAGGGAAATCAAGTGGATTTTCTATTAATATATGATTGATAAAAATGAATATGAAAATTTGGTAAAGAAACAAAAACTAAGTCTCTCAGCCCCAAAGCTACAGGTTAGTATGCTGGCAGATGGAAAACTGGTTTATCAGAACCAATAATCTATTTTCTTGAAGCACAGGTAGTCCTCAACTTACAACCATTTGTTTAGTGACCATTTGAAGTTAAATGGCAGTAAAAAGATGATTTATATCATTTTTCACACTTGCAATCATTGCAGCAGCCTCGTGGTCATGTGATCAAAATTTGGCTGCTTGCCAACTGGCATTTATGACAGTTGCAGTGTCCCAGGGTCATGTAATCAACATTTGTGACCTTCTGACAAGCAAAGTCAATGGGGAAGGCAGATTCACTTAACAACCATATTACTAATTTAACAACTGCAGTGATTTATTTAACAATAATGTCAAGAAAGATTGTAAAATGGGCAAAACTCACTTAACACCTGTCTTGCTTAGCAGTGGAAATTTTGGGCTCAGTTGTGATCATAAGTCGAGGACTATGTATAAGAGATGGATTGCAAACAGATATCTTAGGGTATTGCTACTTGTTTTAGTTCTTCACACTCAGACCTCATATCCTAGATTTTGATAATTATCAAAATAAAAGTAAGAAACAGCATGTACATTACAAATTTTATGATGTTACCTAGTTTGGGTAATGAAATGTCAGCAAGAAAACAACCAAGCTTAGAGAGCCAAGGACCCCTCATTTTTAATTTCAGCCAAACAGTTTTAATACATGGCTAGAGAAGTGACTAGTGAATCAGCAAATCAGGTTTATTCTTCCATAAAATGACCAGATGTCTAAAGACCTTAGGTCTTCATTTAAAAAAAAACCTAATTATCAATAGCACAAAATGTAGATATTGACTGAGGATAATCAAGAATAATTTCATAATATTTTGGTCCTTAAAAGCTAGCATAAACCTTAGTGTCCACATAACTAAAACAGATGAATGCTGCATCTTGACTTTGTCTTTTCATAAAGTATTGAGAATACATTTTAGTAAGTATGCATGAGCACACACCCCACATAAAAAGTTTATGGAGTTTTTCCTCCAAACAGCTTCAGTGTTATATACAAGAGCTGTAAGAAAGTGTCTTGAGAAAGTGTCTTTCATTGCAGAAAGAGAAGATTATACATCCACAAGCAATAATCTTTTAACTTTTTGAAAAATTGGAGAAACTCTACCAAACATAAAGATATTACGCTGCAGTTAACTTTAAATGTGAGGGATCTTGTAAAGCACTTAGCTTCACTTTTTACAGTAATCCTATTTCTTTGATGATTTTCTTGGGTCAACTGACCAACCTGATTTCTCCTCCTTGAAGCTAAGAACAAAGTCTATGAGCTTGAAGCACTCTTCCTCTGCACTCCATAGAATGTTGCGTGGCTTCAGGTCTGCATGGACATAACCTTTATGGTGGAGGTATATCAAGGCTTCCAGGACATCACATGCACAGTGCTGAGTGATCCACATAGAACAGCCAGGCTGACTAGAATGCACAAGCAACTCTGACACACAACTCTAATAAAAGGCAATACGATGGACCTTTGGCAGAAGAACAGTTGGTGAACACACTGTATAAAGTTACTGCAAACAAGAAATAAAAAATATTGGTAGGAGTTATAGAATGAAGAAACATCTGTTTGTAGCAATTTTAGTTGATTGTCTCAGTGGAGCAATGTCTCTGCTTAGGAATTTTCCATTTAATATTGACCTGAAATCCATCCTACTTCCCCAACACTGACTTTAAAAATTATGTGTAGTAAAATGAAAATAAGGACAAAACAATATTTATATTGCTTACTCTGAATGTGACAACCTACATTACCTTCAGAGCTGAACTGCTGTATACCCTTGATTTTTACTATCCCTGTTATAATTCTGTATGACCTCTAAGACATTTGTAGATGACCTCAACAATATTGAGCTGCAAGTCTCCCAATCTGTAAACAGCATATGATACATTAAGGTATTATATGCCATGAATTGAGCAGCACTCCATAGTACAAATATTATTCCTACAAATAAATGCTAAATAAGAAAACTCTGGCTAGTTCTGTATTTGGAGACAGTTCAATAGCATTGGAAAATAGTTCTGTTAAATGATAAAGGGTATCCTTCTTTAGATTTCATAATAGATGATAGATTAGTTCTTGATGAAAATATATGCCCAGAACAGCAGTATACTTAAGACCAAGAACAAATTGGAGGCAGTTTTAAGATTCAGGGACAGTGCTATTCTCAATGTTGCACAATTAGGCTGCAGCATACAGCAATATGTGCTCTTAGTTTCATGTATCCTTTCTGCAACAACATTCTGTTATCTTAGTAGATGCTCACCAATGGATAGGTATGTGATCATCAGAGTACCACTTTGTATGTGCTCTTATAAATGAGATTACAAGCTTATCAAGGGACAGAGATAAGCCTTCTACCATATGATAGTTACCATTTCAATATTCCTGACATTTATCTATATACTACTAAAATTCTTGTGTTTGTTGTAACCTTCAATTGGACAGTACAGGGCAACAGTTACTGAACCACGCTAAACCAAATGGCCTAACAACTTAAAAAATGCCTAGACCAGTGGTGGCGAACCTATGGCACGGGTGCCAGAGGCGACACTCAGAGCCCTCTCTGTGGGTACGTACGCCGTCGCCCCAGTCCTAGGCCTTCAGTTGGGTTTTATAAAACCTTCTCACTTTAGGCCTCCGCCGCAGTGTACAAAAAAAAGGTTCAATCAATCAATTTCAACTTCTCACGGAAAAAAAAGATCTTGCAAAGTTGGAATTGATTGATTGAACTGTTTAGTCCCACCCTGTCTGCTGTTACCACTGCAGCCACGCCCACCCAATGGGCCACACCCACCCAGTACCCAAGGATGCATAAGTGGGTTTTGGGTTGCAGTTTGGGCACTCGAAAAGGTTCGCCATCACTGGCCTAGACCTGTGTTCTCTATGAACACTGCAAACATTTAGACATGCCAGGGTATAGTGTCCACAAATAGTTATTACAACACATTAGATAATCCTGGCTTAGAGTCTGAAGAGATGAGGAATAGCTAAACTGGTCTAGGAAGTGTGAAACCAGACAGAAAGCCTACTTTCAGATGGAAAGATCTTAGCTACAAATTAAAAAAAATGTACACATACTTTACCTTGTCAACCTTATTACTATAAGCAAAACGTCATTAAAGGCAAGGCAATTACTTTCCAACAGCCTCACGTGAAAACACTCTAAATATGATCTCAAGGACTTTTCGTCACCGCTAAAGACTTGAGATGCATTGAGAAAAAGAAGCCATTTACCATTCACTTGTGACTCAGAGGGATCAAATTACCCAGGAAAAAAACCATGACACTCTGCATATGTCCCGAAGCCCTTCTCCCCCTTTCCACGCACTGCAAGTCCGCATAGCCATGAAGATGCTACCCCTCAGCCGCTGGCTCGCTCGCTTTCGCGAGCCGCTTCCCAGTCTGACCTCCCCTCCACCACCCCCAGTCCCCCTGCTTCTCACCGATGTTACGGTGGCCTCGCAGCTCCTCCAGCGTGGCGCGCTCGTTGCTGAAACCGTAATCGACGTCGTCCCCAAGGGCCAGCAGCCCGGACCCCTGTGGGAGAAACTCCTTGAGCGCGGTCAGTGGGACCCCGGGCTCGCCGAGACAGCGCGCGTGGAAGACAGCGGCCGAGGCCCCGCTACCCAGAAGGGCCTCCACCTGCCACAGCCGACCCAGCGCCTCTACCACTGACGACCTCGCCGCCATCCCGCGGGGACCAAGAGGGCCAGGAAAAAGGGAATCACATCCCCTTTTCGCTGCAGTCCACACCTCGGAGCGAAGAAGGGCCATTCCCATCCACCACCCGCGCAATAGCCGGCAGCCACCTCCATGACGCCTTGACAGCGCGCCCGCCTTTGTCTAATCTGGACCTGCCTCCCGCAGCGAAGCAACTGAGTTGGCGCAAGCGCACCAGTAGCCTGGAAAAAGTCTTGGGCGGAGAAAATCTCCGAGTTTTTGTGGAAAGCTCTGTGAAGTACCACTAGATGAGTAGAAGGTAGTATTTGCAACTTTGGATTAAACTATGGAGTCCTTGGTGCTTTCTCGAGCGCACATAGAAGTTATCGAGTTGGGTAACGAAATATCTGCAAAAATGCAACCGAATTTGGAGAACACCAAGGACTTCTCTCTAACATTACTTGCAAGCTCCAAGGCATCGGCTAAATGCCCAGCCGAGTCGAGGTGGATACAAACGTATGCACGAACGGCCTACTTTGGAAAGTTTCGGTGAACATAAGTAGTTTTAGACGAGGAGCAATGGAGAAGGCACAAACATGCTCTGGATTTTTGCTATTTACTTTGCGGTGTCCGTTGACTTTGTCTTTATCTCCTCACGAGACAGCCTTTTAGCTGGGTTAATAAAATGCTGCTTTTCCTTTAAGCAGGCAGCATTCAACAACCGCAAAACGTGTTACTGCTACTATAGTGTGCCAGTCATTATATGACATCCAGCAGAACAGCAATTAAGACATAGGATATAAACTGGGAGACCTTTGGTCCTACAGTCCCACTGTTGGAAGAAAGGTCTTCATCGTGGTTCATCCAAGCTGGGAATAAACATGGTAACTGCTTTAGGAAGAAGGTTGTAGTTTATTGGAGAGAAGAGCCAGACAGGAAGATGGTTTTGGCAGTAAGAGAAGTGGAAAAAAAGGGCCTAGCACATGTAGGGAATAGGTTTTTATACCCTCTGGAGCCTTTTGTTTGGAGTTATTTCCTGTTCCTGTTTTGAGGCTATTTCCTGTGTCATGTATTCTGGCCTGAGTTTGGGTGTGCCCTTTGGCCTTTGTAAGTTAATCCTACCATGTCCTGTCCCAGGTGGGATATGCAGATTTTAGATCTTTGTCTTCCTAATCTCCTAGCTCCAACTTTCCTGATGGTTTACATCTGCATTTGTACAGAGCTGGTATCTGCTTGGGGGAGGCAGATTTGGGGCTATTAAGAAAAACTGGGCATGCTTTTCTGTCTCTTTAAGATCCTTTGAGAAAATATATTTTTCTGCTCTTTTAATATTTCCTTCTCTGGGGGGCTGACTTCCCACACCACCTTAAGTACAAAGTCAGCTAAGTGACCTTAGGCCAGTCACTCTCATGCAAATCACTTACTAAACCTTGCCGGGAATTTCCAAAGTACTCTAGTCGCTTTGAGTAACAAAAATAAAAAATAGATACATGAGAACACACAAAATGATGGAGGCGGAAGCGAAGTCAGGTGACTACCAAAGGGCAGGATGAGAAGGCTGCTTGTTGGCTATTTCAGGCTCATCTGGGAATGCTCCCTTCCATTCTCAGCTACTGTTTAGATTTCTACCAAGAGCTGCTGGGCGCTGCAGAAGTCTATTGGTGGGCTATTAGACTTGCAATTATAGAATACTGCTCAGCCATCAGTATCCTTTAAGGTGTTAATTCCATGGCCCTTCCTAATGCATGAGTAAAGTAGTGAAAATTAATTTTACCCCGCTTTCCAAAGAAGAAATCTGGAAGTCATCCTTGGTTGTTTCGTGAAGACAGGAAAGGAAGAAACGAACAACCTCAGGCTTGCAACTCGGTTCCCTTTGCTCATTTAAAGCATTAGCTTGGTTCCAACAGAATGGGCAAGGGACAGAAATGTTAGAAGTAAAGTCTTCATCCTGGTTCATCCAAGCCGGGAATAAATAAGCAAACATGGCGACTGCTTTGGGAAGAAGGTTACAGTTTATGTAATGTAAGGACCCACCTCACTTTCCATCTTAAGAAGACAGAACTCTTGGAATATCTCTTCCAACAGGCATCTTTAGTAAGAGAAAATGATTGCAGGCGTTCTAGACAGGATCTGAGGGATCAACCCCTACCATTCAATGTTTTAAGTGTTCCCAAGCAGCCCCCACCCCACAGTCCTTCCGGGCAATGATCACTCATCCTCTCTTTTCCCAGATCCCAGGTGTTACATTGTTTCACCCCTTTTCCCTCACTGCTGGCAAAAGGGAGACTTCAGAGAGAGAGAGTAGATGAAAGGCGATGGCCATATTGTTATGGTCAGTTCTCTTGATGAGAATCAACATCCAGTCCTTTGTAGTTTAAATGAAGGAAGTGAGAGTCATAAAACCCCCTTGCTTCCTCCTCCCTTTTTGTAGTATGACAGAATCCACAGAGAGTAAGAAATGGGGTTTTTTTCAGAGTAGGTAGCTAGAAATGAAATATAATTGGATTCTGACACCTAATCAGTTTGAAAATCATCCAGTCTCAAGCTCATGAATATCTGAAATTGTCCAAAAAAAGAGAAATAACTGGGAATTGTGCAGAATTCCCATCAAATTTACCTGGGATAGCAACTGGGCACTTACAACAAAGTCTTGAAGGTCTGGATGCCAACTAGTTGGAAAGGACAGTTACTTGCTTGGTCAGCTGGGGGTTGTTGGCTAGTAATTGCTCCATAATGTCCAACAAACAGGGCTTTCCTCCTGGGAAAAATGTGGCTGGGATAAAACTGTGCTGCCCTATTCACACACACACAAACACATGTAACTGGTTTAGTGAGTGTGGGCTGTTCTGGACTGGGCTCCTCCCTGCACAAGAAAGCAACTTCAAAACTTCCTGGGGTTTGCCAGTTTTTACCACTAGTTTATCCCATTGTTTGCACAAATAGCACTGCCCATCACTAACCTCCTAAAGACCAAGGGTAAAGGGAAACCCAAGCCTACCCAGCCTCTAAAGTGGACAATGGAATGCCAGAACTGGCAGAACCAGTTTAAAGCATCTGAATGCCCCATTTGTAATGTAGTATACATAGCGACCTAACAGTCAGAGCCGTACTGCTACAAAAGAACGAGCAAGGAATCCTACAGCCATGCATATACACTTCCAAAAAGCTCACTGAAACCAAACATATATGAGCAATGTGGGAGAAAGAGGTGTACATGGTGCCCTTGGCACTCCTCACCTGAAGACATTTCCTAGAAGGGAATAAGGCCTCCAACCACAAAATCCTGGAGGCCTTGAAAAGCCCCAGGAGGTTATCCCCCAAGCAGAGGTTATCCTCTGGGCTCAGTATTTCAACCAATTCAATTTCACATTATGATACTTCCCTGAGAGGAAAAACTTTCTAGCTGATGCTCTTTCAAGACTGCTGCAGTACAATAGCTATAAACCTGAAATAATCAGGCCTATTATCTCACCTCGACAACTGGCAACCCCTATCACCACTAGGCGTAAGGAAAACTAAAGCCCCAGATAATGGAGGACCTAGGCAGTGCGCTAAAAGAGAAAGGTAAGTGGTTTCAAACCCACAAAAATTAATTCATGCTACAGGATGGCTTAGCCTGGATAGGAGTCAAATGGCATGTCACAGAGAGTCAACACACAATTGTCCTCTGGAAAAGTCACAATTCAAAACTGGTGGGGCATTTTGACTTTGTAAAAACTCTGCACCTTATAAAATACCAGTTCTGAAAAGGACATAAAGAGCTATTAGGCGACTCTCCACAAAAAGGTGCTAAGGGGAAACGCCAAGATTCCTCCAGCCAGTGCTAGAATCCAAAGCACCATGGAAAGAAATTTGAATGGACTTTATAGTGGAGTTACTGGAAAGTGTGGGGAACACCATAATTTGGGTGATAACTGACCTTTGTGCCATGCCAAAAATTCCCTCAGGCTGCTAAACTATTTGTACAATACATATACAGACTCCATGGGGCACCAGAGAGGATTATATCAGATATCGGCATTTAATTCATGATTTTGGCAAGAGTTCCTAAATGTTTTGGGGACCACTCCTTCCATCATCCAGAAACAAATGGGTGTGTGAACATATGAATGGCGTCCTGGAGCAATACCTCAGATGTTATATTAATTACCAGCAGGACAATTGGGTGGATCTCCTTCCTTTCACTGAAGAAGCCTATAACAATGCGATGTCACGGTTCCAACAGATGAAACTCTTCAAAGAACTTTGAGGCATTGTTTATCTTAAAGAATCTTTATTGGAGTAGCATAGCTTCAGCATTAACATAGTTGAAGCCAAAATCTGGATTCTCCTCCCCTCAGCACATAGTATCAAACACAATTCCCTCCTTTAATTAACAGTCATAAATCACATTCTTCTTCATTAGTTTGAAATGTAGGCTTTTTCTCCTTTACTCCAACCCGCCATTTCTTATTATCTCTTATTTCAAAAGCCCTGAATTCACACACTATTACAATATTGTTATGTCTAACTACTCCCATCACATTCCTCCTCCTCCCCAATATCATCTAATTCTAAGAGTAAAGCATAAGAAAGAAAAAGGCTGCATCTCCATATGTTGTCAAAGCAAGAACATCCAATGTTAGCAGTGTTGACATCCGGCTCCCCTTACAAAAAGGACAGCTCCTGTAGTGTAAACAAAAGCATATGTTAGGGACTGTCTCTCGGTTTGTTAGGGTGTTTCTTATAGTACCTTTTGATGAGTCTGTCGGCTTTCACATTGCTAGATTTCACTCAAGTGGCTTCAGATAGCAAGTATCTCTTCCATTGTACTAGGTACTGCAATTTCCCTTTAAAAATTCTAGAATCAAGAATACACTTTACTTCATAGTGAGTTTGACCTGCCACTACGAGGGGTCCGGGTGCCTTCTTAGGGGGAGGTCTTAAAGTGGATTTTGAAAAGGTTTCAACAAGCTGCAATGGAAGACAGGGTGAATTCTCCCTAAAAGCCTAGGGAGTTTTAATTCTACTGTAACCGGGTTGGTGATGGAGAAAGGCCCCAAGAATTTCGGTCCTAATTTTTTACTGGGTAACTTAAGGCGTAAATATTTAGTCGACAGATAAACCTTTTCCCCAACTTGGAATGTTCTTTGAGGGGCTCTTTTTTATCTGCCTGCTTTTTATAAGTCTCAGAACTCTTTTTTAAAGCAACTTTCATGACTTTCCAAACCTCTTCCCACCCCCTCACCCATTGATCAAGTGTCTGAGAAGTGGAGGGCGCTTGAGGGTATTCAGGTATTGGGCTGAACTCTTTTCTTGTAGCTACTCTGAAAGGCATGAAGCCAGTGCTGCTGTGAACAGAGTTATTGTAAGCCACCTCTGCAAAAGGGAGGAGGTCGGTCCAGTTGGTTTGTTGGTAGGAAATATAACATCTGAGATATTGCTCCACCATCTTGTTAGTGGCTTCCAAGGCCCCATTAGTAGACAGGTGAAAAGCAGATGATAGACTTTGAGATGATCCAATTAATTTAAGAAAGTTCCTCCAAAATTTAGCTGTGAACTCCACCTCCCCCCGTCCGAAATTATTATATGCAGCCAGTACATATGTTTCAAGAACAGTTTAGTCGTTGGGCAGACGGGAGTCCTTTGGAGGCGATGAAGTGAGCCTGCTTTGAAAACAGGTCTATCACAGTCCAGATGACTATATTTCCTCTACTTTCAGGGAGGTCACTATAAAGTCCATAGTGATT